TAGCCATAACCATTTCTTAAGTTGGCCCTGACCACCTGGAGACATTGGTTAGAGGGGGCCCAGGTTCCTTTCGAAGTGTGGACAGATCATAAAAACTTGGAAGCATTGAAAAGCCCCTGCAGGTTGAATGCTAAGCAGTTGCACTGGGCAGAGTTCTTCTCTAAGTTTTGTTTCACCCTTAAGCACCTCCCCGGGAAATCTAACTACCTAGCCAACACCCTGTCCCTCCTACCTCAACATGCCAGCTAGCACGATGAGGTCATAGAGACTATGTTCACGCCCACTCAACTGGGAGGGGGAGTGATGCTGCAGGCTCAAGAGAAAGCAGGGGAGGTTGAGCAAGAGTTGGGCGACTGGATTGAAAAGTTGAAAGCTGTCTGCTCCCCGCGGGACTGGATGTCATCAAAAAGAAGAGGACTTTGGTTAAAAGAGATCGTGGATGCTGGTATAAATGAGATAAACTATTTGTCCCAGAGGGAGGTTTTGTCTAAACAAGCACATTTCATTCCATGAAAGCAGGTGCCCACAGCTAAACAATTAACTTGGATGTTTATGCAACACATGGTGAGATTACACACATTGCCCCATATGATAATTTCCAATAGGGGCTCTCAGTTCATTGCCAATTTTTGGAAAGAGTTACTGAAAATACCTGGTGTAGAACAAGGTCTGAGTAGTGGTTACCATCCTGAGACAGATGGGCAAACCGAACACACCAACCAGGTCCTAGAGTAGTTCCTCCAGTGTTTTATAAACTACCAACAAGATGGTTGGGTGCAACTACTGCCTTTTGCGGAGTATAGTTACAACAATTCAGTACATTGTTCTACAGGAATGTCCCCCTTCAAAGCAGTCCATGGTTATGAAAGAGGTTCTTTGTCTACTACGTAAGTGAACCCAAGACTGGGGATGCTGAAGTGTGGTGGTCTACAGTGACAAGGGGGTGGGAGACTCTACAAAAAATGTTGACTAAACCCAAAGAGGACTATAAATGCTTTGCTGATAAACATCATGGACCTGAGTGGGACCTAGCTCCAGGAGACTCTGTTTATATTTCCACTAAGTACCTGAGAGGGGTGAAACCAGGCAAAAAACTGAATGGAAATATATTGGTCCTTTTAAACTGACTCGCTTGATTAACAAGGTGACTGTAGAAGTAGACTTGGCTAAAAAATTGTGTCATGTGCATCCTGTGTTTCATTTTAGTTTATTGAAGAGAGACCCTGGGCCCTCGCCTTGGACTCATCATCATCCTGTTCCTCCCCCGCTTATGTTCAATGGCAAACCCCACCAGGAGGTGGAGACGATTTTGGATCCTAAACTGAAGAGAGGCCGATTGTACTATTTGATTAAATAGAAAGACTTTGTACCAGAACATGATGAGTGGGTCAAGGCCAATAACATCAAAATCCTGTTCCTCCCCCGCTTATGTTCAATGGTAAACCCTACCAGGAGGTGGAGACGATTCTGGATCCTAAACTGAAGAGAGGATCCTAAACTGATCCGAACTTTCCATAAGCATAACCCTCAGAAGCCGGGTGGTTGAGGAGCCTTAGGGGGGGCAGAATAAGGTTTCAGTTTCACTTCACTTCGTTTTGCTTCACTGCTATCCTTGCCATGTATTAAGGGGGAGGGAATTCCTGAGGGGAATGTATGTGTTGTTAGAGTGAATGCCAATAGTAGCTATAACCATTTCTTAAGTTGTACCCCTCGACCTTTACTCATGGGATTTGGCATTGGAGACTTCTCTACTAAGCTAGCATAGATAAAGCACCATGTATCTTAGGGCTGCCATGGTAACACTAGGGGCTGACTGCTGATGAATGCCTGAGGTTGGGGATGTAGTTGGTTTTACCTATAACTTGAGATTTTCGCGTGCTTTCTTAAGTCCTGAGAAAATTCAAGTTCCTGATGTAAGCCTATTTGTAATAAAGCATCACTACAAATAGTGTTGTGGAGAGTGTATTAACTGGGGACCTGACAGTCAGGTGGCAACTACAGACAGGGCATTTTCTGTGACAGTGCCTCACATTTGGAATACTACTCTCCATATTAAGGCTCACCTGACACCTACTTTACTTCCTTTTCAGTAACAGGCCAAAACACATATTTTTACTTAGGGGTTTAATTAGGGATTTTTCTCATCAACTTTTTAATAGTCTGCTTTTGTTTTATGGATATTTTTATGCAGCTTATGTCCAATGGCTTGTGTCTAATGGCTTGATTTTTCATATTGAGGTTTTTAATTGTGAGCTGCCTAAAGCAGGACTCTGAACAGGCAGCACAGATATCCTAAATAGATAAATGTTGAGGAGAAACCCCCAGTGAGTGATAATTCATTATCAATAGACTAGTACAATATTAAAAATTAGGACCTTTCCCGCATGCCTGAGCTACTCCTGATTTTCTTGGGAGTCGATCCACAAGCATTGGAATTAGTTTGGGCTGGGTTCTTATGCGTGTCTACCCTCCCTGTGCATTTTTACAGTTGTGAGTTTATTTTCTTCTGCATATGGCATAAATAATGAGGATTTCGAAGGGTTTCCAATGCTGTCATCATTGGTATCATTATCAGTGGAGTCAGAGCACCCCCTTATTATTATTATTTTTAAAAAAACCCTAAAATACTGATATAACACTGTATTGTTGTAATGATAGTTTAAGCAGGTTCTCTGAATTCTCAGCTTTTATTGAGGAAAAAGTAAGTCTATAGGAAAAAGGCATATGTCTGCAAGGGAACAGACCAGAGACTTACTTTTTTTAAAAAGCTAAGAATTCAGAGAACCTGCTTAACTTTCATTTCAACACTACAACATTATATTGATATTTTAGGGCTTTAAAAAAACTGAAACCCCTCATCTTTGGGGGGGGGGAGATGGAGTAGTTAAATGATGAAAAATGGGCTGTGGTGAGTGGGACAAAGAAAACCGATATGCACTAAGAAAAAGCCAACTTAAAATCAGCTTCCAGAAAAACACTAAGGTAAAAGTGGTTTCAAAAGAGCTGGAAAACCCCAGGGGAAAAACAAAAAATCCAAAGTGAAAACTAAAGACACAAAAATGAGTGTGGAAATCAGTAAATAAAACAAGGCAGTATGGTACCAGAACCAACCGGGGGGCGGGGACATGCAGAAAAGCCCTAGGATTACAGTTTCTCTCTGTACTTACGCAGACAATGGGAAAACCTGGAGTGGTGATCTGTAATTTGAACCAGTAGAAGGGGAAGAGACTTCTAGGCTTATAGCTAGAGAACTAAACCAATTCACTACACCAGGTCTCATGAGATCATATCTGACAACCACAAATGAATATGGTAATTTCAGTATGATCTGATCATAATATTTTTGTTGTCGCTGCAAGAAATAAAAAGAAGACAATTTGCAGGCTTCAGTGTGTATATCTTATCAGTAGTACCGTGTAGTTCCTTTGCTTTAAGCACATATTGGATTCTGATCAATGGCTCCATTAGATGCATGGTACTATGAAACAGGTCTTCAAAGAACAGTGACCAGCTGAATTTTAGCAGACAACTTGCTCCACCAAGCTTCCTCAGTTAGCTGGAGAAGGAAGAATGGTAATTTCACTTGATTTCTCCTTCTCTTTGCAGTCCTTGGTGCCAAGTAGTACTACTATCCATGAGGATTTCCAGGCCCATGAGATCAGAGGGGAATGCTTGGGGAAAATCCACCTCCATATATGTGTAAATCCAATCTTCTCCCCTCCCCCTCCATGGTTGTTGTTTTTCCAAGGAAGCAGGAAATTACTTATTAACTTATACCACAATCTTCTTCCAAGGAGTTGTGAGTGGCTTAAATATGGTCTCTAGGCAATGACCCATCCTGGCAACTTGCAAGGCATAGCTTCAAACAGAACTATGGCATGTGTTAGCCAACCATTTTCTAGATGAAAATACATCAGCCTAATTTTTTGATCAGTTGAGAATAACACGGTGACAACCTTTTCTCTTCTCTAATTGGTTTTTCAGGACATAGTACATTGAATTACAGGCTTACATTAAAAAAAATCAGAAACAGTTAGGAAATTTTACTGCCAACACAGAACATTTCCACACAACACAATACTATCCAACCACAAGCCTGCTGACAGTGTTCATGTACAAAAATTACAAAATATCAAGAAACTTTTTTGGGGAAACGACTGTATTCAAACACTAAAAAAAGAGTAGTATTTTTTTTTAAATGTACAGAAAAGTAATGAAAGACTATGATTTTTATCAAAAAGTGCCTGAACATAGCAGCTAGAACTACACATTCAGACCTTTAAAGGAAGCTATGATTGTGCTGATCATATGTTTGGCAGCAAGAATTAATCCTGCTGTCCCTTCTCTGAAAAAAGGCTGATCAGCAATGTCACAGCACAAATAAATTAAAGATTTATTTTATGGCAATCCGTGTAGCCTTGTAATCACTTCTGAGAAAAGCAAGCCATGTGTTGTCACAGTTTTGACTGAATTGTGTTACCACATTTTTGCAATTCATCAAATGGGTAAGAATTACAAGTAAATCATTATCTGTATTTGATACTAACAGTTGTTCTTTAGATGTTAACAATCAAGTAGAGTTCTAGCACCCCAGAGACGAACAAATTTGTTGTGACACGAATTTTCGTGAGCCAGAACTCACTTTGTCAATTGCAAAAACCACAAAGTAGTAAAACTATCTCAATTAATACTGAAATGTCATTATCAGCATACTGAGGACTTTTGCAAACAATGGCATTGGCTTGAACTTCAAGATAAAAAGAGACAGTGAGACCGAGAAGGAGAGAAACAGAGAGAGAGGTGAAAAAGCCAGAAGGTGCTATAAGCAAGATCAGCGCACAACAAATGTGACACCTATGGATACAGGAGCAAAAAAATGACTACACATATCAAAGCAGATATGAACAATACAGGTGGCTAGGATTCATATGGAAAAACTAACAAACGGATACAGACCACCAGCACAGATGACAAGAAATTGAGAAGTCTTTATTTTATACCTTTCTTGTTCTGGTGAATGCAAACTAGTATCAGGTCTCAAGCAGTTGGTACTAGCACTCCTAGCCCTGTCAAGTGAGGGCTGCAGTTCACTAGTGCCAGTGCATTGCATCCAATGGAAGAAGGAAGAAGAAAAACAAAAAGAAAAACAAAGAAAGGAATACCATGTTAGATATCAAATCATAAGGTAATGTTCTCTTTACATAAAATGTCAAGTCACAATGGTCTAATAAAGATATAATGGAAGGAACTGGCTGGATGAATAATGCTAATATTTATTGTAAAATAAATTAAAAGGCTTGAATTTGATTGTATAAAAGGAACAAAAGCTGCAATCTAAAGTCCAGCAGGGACCTTCAGTTGGCTTTAATAGGTGAGATTGCACCTCATCAGTGTGAACTCAAACTGGTCTGTATCAATTTACAAAAAAGTAGAAAAATACAAAACCAATACTACTGTTAGAACTTTATTTACTCTGAGAGGTACTATCGGGGGGGGGGGGGGGGGGGGGAGATGGAATACAGTTGACCTGAAATGAAAATACCTTACAATGAAGTTAATCTACTGTACTTAACTGACAAGCATAGGAAAGGACACTTTGACTGAAACCTTACCTAACCCATAATAGTTCATCTGTAAATCTTGGTATTTGCGAGTTAAGGCAATTACGAAGAAGTGAAATATCCTGACTAAGCACTGATGTGGCCTTAACATATGCAGGCAGAGTTGAGCTTCACAAAGCAAAATGATTCATAAAAGAAAAAAAAGTAAGTTTCACATACAACACAAATCATAGAGGGGGGGGGAGAACATTTAAAAATCTGTAACATTCGTCAGTCCTAATATTGATATCTAAGTGACTTGAAGTACCAGGCACTCAGGACTCAAATGGGAACAATTTACAGTGCAATCCTAAACAGAGATACTCTTCTAAATTCACTGAAGTTAATGGGCTTGGAAAGCTATAACTCAGTATAGGATCCCATTGCTAGATTCCTTTGGCTGACATGGTTAAAAACAGGACATTTGCTTCACTCTGGCAATGATATTATGATGATGGAGTTTACAGTATATTAATAAAATTTGTGTTGTTTTGCTTTAAAGAGTTTTATTCTGTCATATAACAAAATAAAGAAACTGTGTGTGCACTCCTCTAACAATTTTCTGGGAGTTAGCCCTGTTGAATAAAATGGGACTTACACCTGAGCAGAGCTTAGGGTTTCTCCCTGTATAGTGGTGGTGGTGGAGGAAAGTGCCATCGAGACACAGCTGACTTACAGTGACCCCCATAGGGCTTACAAGGCAAGAGACCAACAGAGGTGGTTTGGCCTTGTCTTCCTCTGTATAGCAACCCTGGACTTCTCTGGTGGTCTCCCATCCGAGCACTATTCAGGCTTGATCCTCTTTACCTTCTGAGATCTGATGAAATTGGGTTAGCCTGGGCCATCCAGGTCTATTAGGCCAATTGACACTTCTTTACAAGAATCATTCCTACTATTTTATTTTCCTGGAATGTATATTAATACATTTCCTGGTTTGTATATTAATAATTTTTCCAAGAACAGATTTCTTACCTGTAAATATTCCAGTAAGTGCCATTCTCTAATAAAGGCATCTTGGGTGGTAATGTTTTATAGTGCTTAATAGAATTTCTTGATTGTGGCAGAAAAGAAAAAGACCCATGCGAGAAACAAAAATATACAAGTACTGATGAAGAAGCATTTAATTAAATTTCTGCTACGTTGAAGCTGTGGTATAATAAACTCATTCAATTAAATTTTTTATAAAGCATTTTCTGTATTATTAGCAGTATCATTTTTCACGTGTTAGTAATAAAACTGATAGGAAGTTGCACTGAAAACAATAGAGGCTATTTCTCCTATTATCAGAATGCTTTGGCTCTAAACTATTCTAAAGTCAACCTATTACAATTAGAAATTTTGTTCATGTATTATGCTTTGGTTGGGATCAAAAGAACCACTTTAGACAGGCCAGGCAAATCCTCCCCTTTTTCTTTGAACTGCAGTTCCCTATTGTATTACAACAGCTTTTGGAATTCCCTTCCGTTTCAAAGATGCCCTGAGCCCGTTTGCGGGGAGGGCGGGGTATAAATTGAATAAATAAATAATAAAGATGATTTGCGATGCAGTATTGGAGAGTTGAGTGGGATGGGGTGGGGTCCTGTTCAAGAAACACAAACCCTTGAGTGGATTGAACTAGTTATACAGTTCTTTGGGTCCTATCCTTCAAGCAGATCCACATGCCATTTAATAATGGCACATCTTTTGGGAGAACGTTCAACATTTTAAAGATTTCAGTGAGCTGAAACTGAGAACTGAAATTGGGTGCTCCAGTTCAAAGCCCCACGTATGGTCTAATTGACTGACTTGTGTATAGAGCTCTTGCTTTCACAAAGGTTGGGTCGTACCAGCTTTTCTGCTAGGAAAAGAGGGAGAAAGGCCCCATTTTGACTACCAAAAAGACCATTCCAAGGATCATGGAACCCATGTGGGCAAAAGGCTCATGGGACAGGGTTTGCAGTGAGAGAAATCAGGTAGGAACCACCCACTTACATACATCTGTTTGCTCTCTCAATGGAAAAGCCTTATTGACCAAGAAGCCCTGCATGTGCACTGTAACTTCAGTGCTTAAAAGGGACCAAAGGATAAGGACATGGGATTTACTACCTAGAATGACCAGTGCATGCAAAACAGAATATTAAAATACAAATTTAAATAAATGTAATAAGCACAAAAGCACAAAATAATAGAATGGTGCTGCCATGCAGTGGAAGGCCTTTTGTAATGATGCTGGGAATTGCTAAATTTTGATCTATATGAATATTCCAGTTCTAGGAGGTAAACCCTTCTACAGCAGGATCCTGTTTATCTAGACACAGTAGGAGATGTGAATATATGGTCTCGATGCATTAGGATCCACTGTTACCCTACCTACTGAAGTTCATATATAAAGAAACATTTCAAAATATTAAGATTATCTAGGTCAAAGTCTTTTACCTGCAAAATTTCTTATGCAGAATTATGCAAATACTACATAAAGGAACTAAAGGAAACAAAACGGCTTGTAAAATCACCACCACATACACCCGAACTACCCATAAGCAATCTTGGTTACTAAATGCCTGTATTTACCTGGTGGTATGTAGGCACTCTGCACTTCTTCCTCGTTTTGCCCTGGGCAGCATAAGAAGCTCACTGCACAGACAGGATGGACGATGAATGAAACAGATATAAATATGAAGCATTAAATGGCATGAATTATGCCATGGTATGCCAATGAAAACATAAAATAAACTAGAAAGCTTGAGCTGAGATAGTTACCTTGATAGGAGAAAAACGTAGACATACTAGAATATACTCTTTTTAAATGTGACTAAAAGGTACCTTTTACTTCTTTAAAATAATGATTACAAACTTGTGCATTGTTAGGCTGGTTAAATCCCACTAATTTCCACTGGCTTTAAGCAGCCTAACTGTATACAAACTTATATTGGGTATCTTTATCATTAGCAGTGGTCTTCAGATTTTTATTTCTTGATGGACAATTGGCAGTGTATAAAGAAAACAAAACTATACAGAAAAGAGTTCTGACTAAAATTAAATGCTAATTTAAAGAAGGCAATATGCAAAAATATAATATATAATAATATAAAAGAAAATAATATTTCTGTTCCTAGCCATATAATTATGGAAATTTAGAGATTGATTTGATAAAATGTATGTATTATAATCAGCTTCCTTTTATCTGTTTGTGAGAAATATACTGGTGAATAAAATGTCTAAATAAAAGTGTTTTTAGAAGTCATCATAGATTCTCAAAACCTCCTTTCTACATGCTTCTACATGTAGTTCAGATCTTCTTTCTCAGAAGGAGTCATAGATGACAGGAACCAGTGAAATAACACAGAGAAGAGTTGCTGTCTAATGTGTGATAACGCGGACTCTATCAAACCAAAAATATTGACATGTACATGCATCTGCCTCAACAGAAATCACAAAGATACATTTCCATGGTCCCCAAAGTAAAGCTTGTAAATTGTCTATGAAGATGTGCCAGTTCAAAAGAATCAAATAATTATATGAAATACTATGGGAATAGAGAAAAAGAAAGGTTTAAACATCATCTAAAATGGTAACATGGGTTATCTGTGTGCACTATCATTATATCAGGAAAGCATACATTTCACATTTTCAGTAATATAACAAAGAATAATTCTATGACTAGTTCATGTAGCTATCTGCTGGAATGTAGGCCAGATCCTCGCTGATATTAGTAGGAGCTTGATGGTATCTTCCCCACAAAATCAGGCTGAATGCTCAATATACAAAACTCAGAAATGGGCTGTTGTACAGGGGGGGGGGGACTGATGGAGTTTTTTCCAAAATAAATAATTTATTTCAATAGAGAAAACAAAAGTTTCTTAAAAGCCAATGAAAACTGAACAGTAGTGCTGTTCATAATTTGCCGCCCCCCCCCCGCAAAAAGGGGGAAAGGTATCACAGCTCACATACTCTCTCTTTCCCAAGAATCATCTCATAATAATTGCCAGTGCTCTACCCAGACAGGATAGACAGGACCCAGAAAGACAGATCTTTATAACTGGACCATTTTCTGTCATCTTGCCCAGTCACAAAGTGATTGAAAGAGGTGGATGGGAAGACACAGGCTCCAGTTCAAAAGGCACGATCGGAGTTGTACATTGCAAAATCATTTGAGTATGGGAACTGCTAGGTGTCAAGGTGAACATGGAAAAAGGAGGATTGTTGGCATATGCATGGGATTGTAGCATTAGAGTAACTCTGAATGTGTGAGTAAAAAGCTGAAGTATGAGGAGTCTGGGAGGAGTAGGAGGATTAAATAGTACTGGGTGATGGAGCCTCCATTTGCCACCAGATTATAAATGTGCCACCAAATGCCAAATCTAGACCACAGAGATATAAGAATGGACTCTGTCTATCACAGTAGATAATGAAAGGAAGAGCTGTGTACTACATTGTACAGCAACAACAAGATACAACCTGCTTAGGATGGCCCAGTGTCCCAGCTGGGTACTGGTGCAGTTATTGCATTAGCTCAGTTACAGAAAAAGATGGCTCTTTTATACTGATAAAAAATGTTTCTCCTGATCAAAGACAATTATTCAATAACATTGATAGCCATGGTAATATCTGCAACAGAATATAAATGTATATATAAACTGTTTTCCATTACAGATTAGAGCATCTTTCTCTTCTCATACACATACTGGATCTAAGCACAATGTCTTAAATAAACCCAAATTCTTGTTATAATAAAATATTTAAAATATAATATGGAGTATATTCCAACACCAGCATAAATGACATAGGTATTTTATAACAGAGCCACATGTTTAACATACCTTTCTTGATCTGACAAATACAGGCTATCCACATCTCTGGACCTGCGGTCAATTGGGCTTCGGGAGGCATCATGGTGTCTAGTTGGAGAACGCGATCTTCTCATTTGATGAATTTCATCTAAACTCCTGAAAGTGTTTACAGAATCACAAGGAGGCATGTCAATGCTTTTTCCCTTGAATTCTGCTGTTTAACTAAGGTTCCCCAGATATTTAACAACTTCTAAGGGCAGATGATTTTGGATGTAAAGATTTTGTCTCATAGAGGGATATCAAAAAGATGGCAAAATCCATACTGTTTATTTTTTTTTATTTGACTTATATCCCGCCCTCCCCGCATAGCAGGCTCAGGATGGGTTACATCAGATTTGATAAAAATACAAGAATCAATACAATTAAAACAACAATAAAATACAGCACTATCCTTTAGCTGGTGCAGTTTTCATTAAAATTAAGGCCTCACAGATGCCAACTCTAGTGTGCAGTTCTGACCTGCTGAAATGAGGCCAGTAAGGAAGGAGGGACGTCTGTTGCCCTGGTGGAAGAGCTCCATCTTGCAGGCCCTGAAGAACTGTAAAAAGTCACGCAGGGCACGGATCTCGTATGGGAGCTCATTCCACCAGGTAGGGGCCAGGACTGAAAAACCCTGGCCCTAGTCGAGGCGAGACAGACATCCCTGGGGCCAGGGACCACAAGAAGATGTTGACTGGCAGATTGTAAAGCCCTCCAGGGCTCATAGAGGGAGAGGTGGAGATAAGCAGGCCCCTGGCCATATAGGGCTTTAAAGGTAAGCACCAACACGTTGAAGCAGATCCGGTACTCAATAGGCAGCCAGTGCAGTTCGTGAAGCACTTGACAGATGAGGGCCCACACAGGCAGTGACATCAGTACCCATGCCGCTGCGTTCTGCACTAGCTACAGTTTCTGGAGCAGAAAAGGGCAGCCCCACGTAGAGAGAATTACAATAATCTAATCTGAATGTGACCATTGCATGGGTCACTGTAGCCAGATCCTGGGAAGTGAGATATGGGGCCAAGTGCCTGATCTGTCTCAGATAGAAAAAAGCAGACCTGGCAGTGGTGACGACCTGGGTCTCCATAGTTAGTGAGGCATCCAGGAACACCCCCAGGCACTTCACCTTCGGTGCCAGCGCCAATAGGGCCCCATCAAAGGTTGGGAGCCCGATCCCTGATCCCAACCCCCCACGACCCAGGTACAGGACCTCTGTCTTCAATGGATTCAGTTTCAGTCTGCTCTGCTGTAACCAACCAGCCAGAGCTTGTAATGCCCTGTCCAGATTTTCTGGGGCCAAGTGTGGGTGGCCTTTCATCAATAGATAGAGCTGGGTGTTGTCCACGTACCTCCAGATAATCTGGGCGAGGGGGCACGTGTAGATATTAAATAACACTGGGGAGACAATAGATCCCTGTGGCACACCACATTCTAGTAGGTGTCACTGAGATAATCCCCCCCCCAAGTGCCATCCTCTGTCCCTGACCTGTTCAAAACAACTGTGAGCTGGAATTAGATATCTGCCTTCTTTTGAGCACAGTCCTCTATAATGTTAGTTAAAATAACTGCACTAATAAATCAACTGAATAGCTAAGCAAATTGTAATAAGGTACCAGAAAGCTCTTTCTACAGTTATACTGAAAGCACCCCAAAGTGTTCCCTTAGGTTACACTTAAGCTAATTAAAAGTCCTGTGACACCTTAAAGACTAATGACATTTATTCTAGCATGAACTTTTGTGAGTCAGAACTCACTTCTTCAGATGCTATGCCACACTTTTATAGGGGAAATTACCAAAGGAGAGGGGTGGGGAATGGAAGAGTTGAGGATAGAGACAGGTGTGATTCTCTTTGTAAGGGACTAGAACAGATTAGGTTGTTAATGTTATACATAATGGATGATGAGCTTAGAGGTTCCAGCCTCTCTCTCTCTCTCTCTCTCTCTCTCTCTCTCTCTCTCTCTCTTATGCCCCCAGTAGGGGATTTTTTTATTGCCTTTTCTATAAACTACAACGAAATTTGGAAGGGGGTCTACAAACTATAGGAGAAAGTAAAGAAAACCCACTAAAACCCAAGAGATGGTGGTCATACATACTGCTTAAAAAGTTAGCTTTAAACTCAATGTTCAATTCAAGTTCATTGAATGTGGTCATCTAATAATCTATTTAAACTGAAGTAAAAATGTAAACACCACCGTATCTGACTTCTTAAAGAGCAAAATAAGTAATAATTATAACAAAACATTGTAAGAGATTTCAAAGTACAATTACATCTCATCTTTTATACTTTTTCTTTCTCAAGTGGTAGCTTGTCCTTGGGGCTGCCACCCCCAGGTTAGAGTCTGAGTTCTCGTCTGAAGATGCCACTGCTCCTTCTTCTTCACTTTCTTTGGTGCTGTCTCCTTCCTCCTCTTTTTCTTCTCCTGCTGGATGACTATGTTGATGCAGAAATTCATGTGCCTTTTCAACAGAGTAAATTTTTTCTTTCTTTTCCATAAATCTGAAGATTGTGCCTTCGGGTACAATCCATCTGTAGGGAATGTTGTTCTTCTGTAGGAATAAAACCAAGTCTCTAGATTTTCTTTTCCTTCTTATTTCAAGCGGAATGTCCTTCAACACTTTTATTTCTTTGTCCTTGATTTTCAGGGTAGTTCCATTTGTCGCTTTGAGAATTTGATCTCTCACTTGTCTTTTGGAGAATCTTACCATAAGTTCCCATGGCAGATTATTCTTTCTTGTAAATTCTGAATACGACCCATAGATCGTATCAATTTCGCTTTGTAATATATCCATTTTTATATTTCCCATGGGGCCTAAAGCCTCGCACATAGTCTGTTTCAGATTCTCTCCCTTCTCTTCTGGAACACCTTGAAATCTTAGAACATAGCTTGCTCTTTCCATTTGTAGCTGTAACAAATGAGACTCCTCCATCATTCTCTTTTTCTCCATCACCTGCAGTTGTTTTTTGAGCTTCTTGGTGTTGGCATCCACTTCTTTCAGCTCTTGCTCAGTTTTTTCTGTGTTTTTTTACTATCTCAGTTAATTGAGTCTGCTGTGTATCGAACGTATGGTGCAATGCCGTAACTTGTTCCAGAAGAGGGTGCAGTGCTTCAGTCAGCATCTTTTGCAGCTCTGTAGTTATGTCCTGTCTAGGCACAGAACTCGTTGGGCTGGCAGTTCCAGCAAGAAGCTTAGGTTTCACATGCTTGTCTTTCTCATCCTTCCTCGTGGGCACCATGTTTGGGAATTGTTTACTTTTTATAAAAGTTATCGCAGTCTCTGATACTCTTAAATCTGCCTGGTAAGTTCTTAAATGCTCTTTATTTAAATCCGTCTTGCCTCATTAGCCCACCCCCCTTTTCGTAGTAGCTCAAAGTTCGCTTAGTTTTTCTTAGCGGGGGAGAGTTCCCTCCCCCCCTCACTTTCAAAGGGGAGGTTTTCAACTAGTTCTTTGATGTTTCTCGCTTAGACATTAACTCACATTTCAACGATGAGTCTGCTTTTGTTTTCAATTCGCTTGGCCACCAAACACTTGCTCCAGTGTGCGATTTCTAGTTCCCATTTGGGACGCTCCGCAGCAGGACCACTGGGGCATGGAGTAGCTCCCCTTCACTGGCAGGGTCACCGGGGGAAGGGCTCTCTAGCGCCCCATGGCTGGAAGCCCAACACAAGGGCTTCAGGGGTGGTGCGCACACTCATGCCCCCTCCCAACTGTGGGCTTTGATGGCCGTCTCCCAGAGCTGCGGGAGAAAGTGACCGCCATGGCGAATGCCAAAACCCGGAAGCCCAGCCTCTCTCTCAAGGGGTACATATAAACAAAAGTGTCATTAATAGTAGGCTAAACAACAATAAACTGAGAAGGAAGCAGTCTGAAATATAAAACAATAATTGTGAAATATACTGGGTTCAATGTGCGCGAGTGACCAGCTCATGCTTTATTGTGAATCAGCTCAAACTAAAGACAAATTAGCATGACCGAAGCCCTGCTCAAATTCATACCCAACACCACACCCCCCACACACCCAATACCTGTGATAGGTTATTTACAGAGGTACTCCTGGGTGATAGGTCCATCCCAGGATTCTAGTAGTCCATTGTTCTGTGACCCCAAGCTGGGTCTGTCAAGGGTTAGAATCAGTACATAACATCCCTCCCCCCAAGGATCAGAACCTCCTAGCAAACAGAGTCCCTTAGATATGCCAGTCTGCATCGCTCACGATTTTAGCAATATGATTCTGTCGGTGGCTCTGGTCCTGATGCAGCAGCCATGGGGCCCGGGGGTGGCAGTGGTATTGGCACGACCTCGGGCCCATCCGTGTTGCTTGCTCCAGTGTTGCATCAACCGGACCGTAGTTGTGGGTTACTCACTGGTCACTAGGCCCCCTTGCGCAGCCTCAGGCTGCAACGCCACGTCATCTTCATCCAGGGTCATTGAGGGCAGTCCTGGCTCGGCGGGGAGGAGACAGTGGCGGAGCTGGTCAATGTTCCTCCGTAGTACCTGGCCGCCATCCAATTTCCGGGGGGGGGGTGTGCGCCAGAGGCATTGCCAAGGCAGCAGAAGGCAAGAAGTTTGGGTGAGCTGGGCTCCTCCATGCCTGGCAGAAGATGAAGTGCAGAGGCGAGAGGTGGGCAAGCAGAAGAATCGGCTTCCCGCAGTTCGACCCCATTATATCCTATGGGCCATTGAAGTCAATGGTGAAAACATAGGGTATATTCTGGGGGCTGGAGGGGAGGGGGTTTGAGGGAGAGGCTCCAAAATCGCAGGATAGCTGCTGGAGCCTCTCCCCAAGATACCTGCCATGTTTCAGGAACATTGAACCAGGGAGTCCAATTCTACAGGCCCCCAAACAGGTTGCCCCCATTGTTCTCTATGGTGGGAAAAAAGTTACTAGTTACTAGTTGATTAAAGTTGATACAGGAAGGGACTGTATTTCTATGGTGAGCTACATATTTGGAGGACCTGTCAGCCTATTGTTATCATACCACTGCAAGCCCAGCTAAACAGGCCCTTGCAGTTGTAGAAGATTGCAGATATCCCACATTAATCTGCACCCCAAAGATGGGTGGTCTAAAATATTAAAGCTAAAATGACTGTACAGAGCCCACAACTGGTTTACAGCATACTTTATTCAAGAGCTTCCTAAAAAACTTACAGGCTGTTGGACTTTTCCATTACATGTAATATCTCTTTGTAACACTAAAACAGGAAAAATTTAGCAACTAAATTAAGACATATTAAGTTATTCTTAAATATATAGAATGAGAGGTAATAGGACATGTAAAGTAAACAAGTACCAGATTAAAACATTTGATCCAACAACTTTAAAAAAATTTTATAATTAAAATTCAAAATATAAAACTAATCAAGAGGTGTCAGAACCATAGCACGAATTTTCAAAGTTAATGAAATATACTTAGCAACAGTTTCTGTGACCCTTCAGTCATTACCCGCAAAAATATTTGAAAGGAGATCATCTGCAGAATGAATAGGGAAGATAGCTAGGACAGGGGCTAGGATAGACGCTCTTGGCTTGGCATAAAACTTTCAAAAACAAAAAGTGAGATAGTTTGTAGTTTCTGGGATACACATAAGCACTGTGTCTGCTTCCAAGGAATCCCCCCCACAATGTCCCATGAAGTTCCGCCAAATAGAATGCATAAAAGCATGCCAATAAGAATATAACCACAACTGGTGACAAGATACACAGGGACAGGAGACAGGAGGCTGGAAATGAATAGCATTCCATGAAAGCAGCTTGTTTTCCTAAAAGCAAGACTTCTTGAGGAAAGGTTTACCTGGTTTATGGCCTATTGAGTGAGTTAATCCATTCTCAGATCTGAGCCCCTGATTATAACAGGTGTACTAGGACATGCCACATCTCAACCATCAGCCATCTTTTTTCAGCATCTGTCCTGCAGCATGACTGTAAAAATTACTCAGTCTCACTCTCCTCTTCCCCTCTTCTTCTCTTGCTTCCTTTCTCCCCAGATTCTTATTACATCCGTCTTAAGGAACATAAACCAAACCACCCAGTTTACCTCCCTTCAGAATACACATCTGAAAACTACTCAATCACTTCTTCCTTCAGCATCTCACCTTTTTCCTCTGTCCTACTTCTCCATTTTTTTTTACTGTAGCCACATGATGAAACTAAGGATCTTAGAATGTTTTCTGTCCTGCTAAGGATGTCCGTTGCACCATGAAAATGGGGTGGGGGGATGGGTTGAACCGTGTGTGTATGAAATATTCATTTTCTTCTTGATATCATAATAATCACCTTAGATTTCTATCACAGAAGAGCAGCTGTTCAGTCTGCTTGTACATCTTCAAGAAACTCACTAAGGAAAATACAACACTGAAAATTCCCTTCTAATAGTATCACAATAAAGACATGTTTCTCTGTATGCTATGTTGCTCTAGACAAATGGCATCTGCCATGGCATGCAGGCTTCTCAAAAGTAACATCACTTTCATACATTTGTACTCAACTGATATGATCCATTCAAAGTCAAGCGCTTTTAGCAGTAAATACTAAACACGGTGACACCCTTTGAGGTCCACTGAAGTCGATGAACCTAGAAGGATGTACCCCTGTTTAGAATGCCACTGTAAGTTACCTTGATGTTAATGGGGGAGAGTTAACCACACACTTAACCTCCCACAGATTTCAGTGGGACTTGAAAATGCAAAACGTGTTTCAATGATAAAGGCAGCTACATGGTGAACCTACCTCTGTAATGGCACATTTGGTAAACGAGAACGGGTCCTGCCCTGATCGTCACCACGGTGAGGAGATACAGATCGTGAACGATAATGAATTCCTCTTTGCTGTTCTGGCACAGTTAATGTTGTAGATTTACTTTCTCTAGTGCCAGACCTATAACCTACTGGTAAGAACACAACAAAATGAAGTTAGTTTTGGTCAGAAGTGGCAAACTATTCATATTTGGACTAATTTTCTAAGAAAATATCTCCCATAGATTACAAGATTTTCAGCTAGCTATTTAACTACTGAAAATCTCAAAATATCATGCAGCAAGGGCTAACAAGTAGCATAATCTTAAAGGTAATGCATATATAAAAGGGTGTGGGGGGGAGACAAACATACAACAACAGGAGAATTTACGTGCAAGACTGCAACAATTCCAAAGAGAAAAAAGTGAACAGGGGCAGATATAATACCTAAATAGATATTATTTGCTGCTAGGGTCACTTTTTCAACTCTTCTGTATTTTTAAATGAAATCTGAGACTGCAACATTGAAACAAGGTTATTGTTATGATTCTTGCAAACAATGAGATTGCTTATCAGTACATTCCTTTAGGTTTGAAGCCTGTGTTTCAGTTTCATTTAAATGAACTGCTGACATGAGTATGGGATAAAGAATTTGATTCGGTATGGCTCCGTTATAAAACTACCCACAGAATCTGTTTAACTAAGCATGACTATTAACAGTTGTTAGCCAGAGAACCCTATCACCACAGAACAAAGTTGGAGGGTAGAAAAAACCAAGTAAAAGAGCAAGATATCAAAATGCCATCGAGACCACAAATTCTTTGCATAAGCTAAGCACTGAAGTTAACTTTCCATTTAATCAGCAGTACCTTTAACCACCCAGGTTTTAATCCTGGAAACATTTTAACATTCTGTCTCTCATAAGAAAAACTGTCTGTGCAAATAATGTATTGATGTGATGAACCACTTAATTGCATAGAAAATCTTCCAGAAGGAGACAAAAAGACACCAGTAGTCAGTCTCCCACCAATAGGAAGAAAAGGACAGAAATATTAAATTAAGTCTTGAGGACAAATATACTTGAACATATTTGTTATACCATGAGCAAGCTGCAAATAAGTAATGGCTACGTGGATTGAACATTAATGATCCTTACAATTTTTTTGAATTTCACAACAGGGAATGAGGGAACCATTCTCAAAAAATGTATACCTGAAGCATACTGCATGTGTTTCATAAATCTTGTGTGGCCGCTTTGTGGAATGGAAAATGGGCTGTTGCACATGTAGAGAAGTCAGAATGGCAAAGGGAGGGGATTTTTAGTTTAATTACTTTGATATTATATTGAATTCTTAATCCTAGAGATGGCCAAGTCTTCATACACATACATCACACACAAATACAGGAATTAAACAAGTACATGGCTTTGTTAAAACTGTGTTGCACCAGAGGACATTAATACTTCCAGGGATACTGCAAACAGCTGAGGTAAGCCATATAGCAAAACACTACTAAAGTCATTTGGGTTCATTGATGTAGCTAATAGGCTTATTTAGGCAGTTATGCTCAATACTGTTTCAGAAAGAAGGACAAAATGTTCTATTTGAATTTCTAGCAGTGCAATCCTCTGCAGAGTTACTCAGACTAAGCCCACTTCAACTGCACTGTCATGAAAATGACTTTTCTGCTATCTCTAATGTCCCGCTGGGAGGGCGGGATAAAAATGTAATAAATAAATAAATAAATAAATAAATAAATAAATAAATGTGTTTAGTAACCTCTATAACATTACATAAATATCTTGTTTATTCACTATAGTGATAGCTGAATTACTACAGGTTATGTTGATACAGAGAGACTAGAAGTAGTTTGAAAGTTTTTACTGCAGCTAATCAGCTGGCCAAAAATGCAAGCTGCCTTTCCATCTCATACTGCTATTATCATCATTTCAGTTATTAATATCCAGGATCAGCCAACACATTTCATACTGGTTTTCTTATTCAGACAGGTGAACAGCTACAGTAAAAAATGTCACCTCCATTGCTTTGCTGCACTAGAGCTACCTAGCAGTAGGACCTTTGCCTCCCTGGTATAACTGAAAACCTCTTTCTGTGTACAAATTTTGGATAGTGATAGCTTATGAATACTTATGAGAAGTATAAAAAGATATAGCCCATGCTTCATGCACGTTAATATACAGTCATGCATTTTCAAAATATTCCATGGAGAACCTGTCACAATTGTAAGCCAGAGCTAGCAAACTGAAAGGAAACAAAAACATTAAATTCTTTTTCAGATTGACTCTTAACAGTTTGCATTTTCTTTTGCATACAGAACCACTGCTTCTTTCAGAAAGCAGCCTTTAGTCAGTGAGCATCCAAAAAAATGATTTGTTGTGTAACAAAAATATTAAACACTGCCATTGCAAATTCTGAGCAAATTTAATAAAGGATCACCATGGAATACTAAAGCCAACTATTTTCTAGAAAACAGTAATCTCTCTATTCATTCCCTCATAAACTGGGAAAATCCCAACTGTAAGGAGGGGGGAGCAAAAGAAAATGCAGGACCATGCTCTTCATACACGCACCTGAAGGAACTACTCCAATACCATCATCAACATCATAATCTGAGATGTCACTATCACTGATTCGCTGAGATCCTGTGCAACAGTAAGGCAAATAGATACCTGTATACTTGGTTCTTTCGTAAAAGGGTAAAAATATGTTTCAATAAAAAATTCCAGTTACTCTGGAGATCCAAATATGGGGTTGCATTCAAATTGAAAATACAACACTATAATAATAAAAAAAAACCCAATTATAGAATGGCTCAGAAAGTGACATGCTTTGGTTATGGCCTGAGCCCTTCACATACTTACTGCTGAAATTAAAGCAACAGCCAGTCTGGCCCTGTAGAAGGACATTAGCTATAGAAGGGCAAACATTAACAGAGCTGCTGTGACAAAAGGAAGATTAAATGCCTGTCATGATGGGCATAGCAAGTGAGCTCTGCCCAGCTTGCCAGGAGAATTCTTGCCTAATTAAAACAAAAGCAAAACAAAAAGAAGCATAAGATTGCAGCTTGCTATTTTCTCCACACACTCCAACAACTTTTAGAATGGCACATACATTGGTGGCTGTGCCATCCCACTTCCCATTTTGTCTCCACCAGAGCCATATAAACATTGCACTGCTGGGCCACTGGAGGGGAAACCACTGGTGCAGAACCAACAGAGCCCTACCATGTTTACTTCCAGTTCTCAAAATGGTTGAGCTTGTGCGGTGGCTCCAAGATTTGAATATCTGAATGTTTGTCCTGGCTCACATCTGCACATACTTTATGTCATTCAGTTACTGTACACTCGATGACTGCCAGCTGAGCATTTAAACTGATCCAGTGAAAAGCATTGTGTGATTATGGGAGTAACAAATGAGTCTGTTAACTAGAACTGATCAGGTTCTTTTGAATTTCATTTTCACTTTTATATTTATAGGAAAAGCACCTCCATTTTTCAATGGACTTTTGACTATGTTCTCAAAATTTGTCCTTTATAATCAAATCTTGGACATTAGAAGAGCATCAGTCCCTGAAGTCTGAGTTTTATGGCCAGCAAGGAACCGTGCAGATCTTTCCCCAAGTTAGCAGAGGAACTCCTGAGCATTGGGAAGAAAGACATTGTGTAATCCCTGATCTTGTCTGACTTTAACTAAAGTCAGCAAAGATCCTGCAACAGGTATTGGCTAAAGCTTAGGCAAAAGATCATCCCTTGATAGGGTTGTCAGACCCCCAATGGGAAAGAGGAATTCTCTGCATCCAGCTTCTCTTTCACACCACCACTCTGAGCCATTGTGAGAGAAAAATGCCATGAATAAGAACCCTACTGCTAAATGAACAATCTGTAGTAGTAGGTGTTGACTTACACCTGTGTCTGCCTGAGATCCTGGAAAGTCACTGACAATCACAGTTGACAATACGGACCTAGATGGATCAATAACTGATTCATTATAAGGTAGCTTTGTAAGTTCCAATGACTTGCACAAGATAGTATGCGCTAAATGCAGTGGGACTACTTTAGAATAAATGATCCAAAGATGTCATTCACCTTTTTTGTGTGGCAACGATCAAATGAGTATAAATTAAGTGAAATATTATGCAAGCTGTAAAGTCATAGGGCAAGTATGTGAAAAAGGGAGTTTTCTCCCATGTTTTCACACAGTTTTATTCAATCAGTCTTTGAAAAGTACGAGTTTTGTTGGAAAAAGAATCAGTCACTTAAATGTTCAGTTATATATTTCTTGTATTATAATAGGAATGTCAAGACTATTACTGAGGATGAAGAGGAGTTCAAAACCTACTTTGCAATTTTTTGCTAGAGTTCTCTCCACCATGGGCATGTCTCCTTGGCATGAAGGGTGATGGCTGAGGCAGAGGTAGTGAGGATTCATCATGTGTCTGCAGCTTATACCAATGTGGTTCATCATCTAAAAGTGCCGTCTCCAGCTCAATAAGGATCTGTAGGAAATATAACCAAATTCATCTTAGTTTAAAATCAAGAGACCACCAAATGCTTTTGAAATACCTTGAAATTATTTTACAATTCCAACATGTATTACCTCTCCAAGAAAGTCACTTTCCTCTTCTTGAACTCTTGGCTGATCCCAGACAGTGATTTCTAACATCCGTTCTCTAAAATCTCTACGATGCACATGGGAATAAAGAAACGTTTGGTTCCATTTTGGCTCTAAGCTTTTCTTTACTGTTTTCGTCCTTCTTTTACTTTTATCACTGAAACAGAAGACACCACAGTAAATTAACAAGCAAAAAGCAAGTTATATATTGCCAATCTCACTCCTTAAGTATTATGATGAATTACTGATGCTGATCACTGCCAGCTTTATTCCAGCAGTGCAAGTAGGCCATGGCTCAGTAGTATAACATCAAATTTGCATGCAGAAGGTGGGGGTCCAATCCCTGGCATCTCCAGTTAAAAGGTGAAGGTAATAGATGACCTCTACCTGAGACCCAAGAGAGCTGCTATAGTCAGAGTACATCAAGGCTCCCTAACCTTTTTGAGCCCGTGGGCACCTTTGGAATTCTGACACAGCCACAAAATTGCTGTGGTGGGCACACCCACCAAATGGCTGCCAAGGAAGGTGGAGACAGGCAGAAAATGGCTTCTGTAGCTTACCTTCAGGCACACAGTAAAAATCTTTGTTCTGTGGTGGCAGAAGCAGCCAAACCAACACCTAAAAAAATTTCCAGTGGCCAACTACACCATGCCAACAAAGGTCTGACTCGGTATAGGCAGTTTCATGTGTTTTCGTTCTGCAGTCTCCTGCCTGCACAGTGAGGGGAGAGACCTCAGATGATTGGTGGCCTTGCTACTCAGTCATACCAGCAATGCTGCCAGTTATGAATTAGGTAGACACCAAAGTGGGAAGAGGATGTACAGGATAACAAGATGCTATAAAAGATTCATTGGCAGGTGAAAGGTCTGACCAACTTCTGTTAATGAAACAATTAAGAAAGATGTTATCATCCTGAAATATAACAGCCGAAGGACTAAGTGATTCATACAAAAGCTACAAACACTGGAAAATGGTGCCACAAAGATAGCACAATAAACTCGGAGAGAACAGAAGAATGGGAAGAGAGCTAGTATAGTGTAGTGTAGTGTAGTGATTAAAGTAGGGGTGTTAAACATATGGCCTGTGTGCCAGATCAGGCCCATGCAGGGCTGCAATCCGGCCCAAGAGCAGCTGACTCTGTACTGCTTCCTGTATCTATCATCTTAAACAAATATTCCTTTGTTTAAGACCAAAAACATTTTTTCCAGGTATGGAGGGGAAGAGTCCTTTGTTTAAGACCCAAAAATTTTTTATTCCAGGTATGGGGGAAGGGAAGAGTCCTGTGTTTAAGACCAAAAAAGTTTTATTCCAGGTATGGGGGGGGGGAGGAAGGGAGGAAGAGAGAGTCCATCCCATGGAACTTGGAGAGATCCCCCTTTCCATTTCTAACAGATGAGGGAGAAGAAACCTAACAGCACAGCTTGCATTCCTTATTAGTGAAAGGGTGCGTGAGTACAGCAGCACCTTAATGACTAACAAAATTTGTGGCAGGGCATGAGCTTTCATGAGTCACTGCTCACTTCTTCAGATAAAACTGGAATGTGAGTCCATCTGTCCTTATATCTTGGAGAGTGAAGTGATTTCAGATGCCAAAAGACAATAGCAGGCATCGGTAATGAGAGAAGAAACCTAGGTCTCAATTCACTCCAGGAGTTTGCGTTGTCTTGAGCTTCATGATCAGCTGCAATTCAGCAGTCTCTCTTTGGAATTCCTTTGTAAGAGAACTGCTACTCTTAGGTCAGCAACTGAATTCCCTGGAAGGTTAAAATGTCCCCCCACTGGTTTTTGAATGTTGTGGTTTCTAATAGTGGTAGAAAGAGTAAGAGTCCAGTAGCACTTTTAAAGACCAACAACATTGTGGTAGGGTATATGCTTTTGTGAGTCACTGCTCACTTCTTCAGACTTTTTTCCATTTATTCTTTGCATTCTCCTGGACTGAATCCTCCTGTACCAAATTGAGACCCATGTTTCCTGTCTCATTACCGATGCTGATATCTCCACCCCTCTGCATATCAGATCTAATCCAATCATGGCTGCTATTGTCATTCGGCATCTGAAATCATCTTTATAAAGTTTATATCTCCGGTACCTTGTGTTACATTTTATGGCACACATGGCCTGGCCCGACAAAGTGATATTTATATCAGATCCAGCCCTCATAACAAATGAGTTTGACACATCTAGGTTAAAGTGTTCAATACAGAGCAAGAAAAATCCTCCCTTGACCATGGGCCAATCATTGTCTCTCAGCCTAACCTACTTTACAGGTTTGTGGTTATGTAAAAGGATGGAGAAAACTATCCTGAGCGTGGGATAAAAATGGGCTTATAAATAGATTAAAGACAAGGCTCACCAAGAAGGATTAGGAAGTAAAGAAAGATAACATGGGAAGGAAAGGTACGGCAAGAAGGTCCATAATTGCTGGGGCACCTCACCAACTACAGGCATTAACTAGTTTACCGAGACTAGTAAATAGTCCTGTATTTTTCTTGATTAGATATGAATTTTACGTAATTACATCACCCTGTACTTCTTGCATTCTGTAGGCCCTTGATCCTGCAGTTTGTTATTTTTTTCCCATTTCTCCTACATAACATGACAGCATGATGATGTTCTGCTCATTGTATATGAAGAAGTGGGCTCTAGTCTGTGAAAGTTTATGCTGGAATAAAATTTTGTTAGTCCTTAAAATGCCATAAAATCCCTTGTTTATTTTTTTTAATGAAACGAATTAACTCAGCTACCCTTCTGGAATTATTGTTCTGATACACAGTAATTTTCCATACTATCGGACAGATGGGATTTCAGTTCTTACCCACCAACACACCTAGATTCAGGAATAATCCATTAATTTCTACTCATTTGAGTCTCATTTGGTGATTTCAGCAACAAGCAAGAGGAAGCTAGAGGAAATTGCCTAATGATAGTTAAATTCATGACTTCATTTTTATGGCTCATATGCAGGGGTCATTTCTTATACACAGAGCTAGTGGGACTTCTCATTTGGTGATTTCAGCAACAAGCAAGAGGAAGCTAGAGGAAATTGCCTAATGATAGTTAAATTCATGACTTCATTTTTATGGCTCATATGTGACAGAAAATTCTTATACACACAAAGAAGGAAACATCTAATAAGACATTAATAATAGATTCTTTTGAACTATGGTGCTGGAGGAGACTCTTGAGAGTCCCTTGGACTGCAAGAAGATCAAATCAGTCAATCCTAAAAGAAATCAACCCTGACTGTTCCCTGGAAGGCCAGATAATGAAACTGAAGCTCAAATACTTTGGCCACCAAATGAGAAGGGAGCACTCACTGGAGAAGACCCTGATGCTGGGAAAGATTGAAGGTCAAAGAAGACGGAGACGGCAAAGGATGAGATGGTTAGACAGTGTCATAGATGCAACGAACATGAAATTGAGCAAATTTCAGAGGACGGCGGAAGACAGGAGGGCCTGGCGGGAGCTGGTCCATGGGGTCGCGAAGAGTCGGACTCGACTGTGTGACTGAACAACAAAAAAAGTATACATCTCATCTGAAATATTACCTTCTATCTGGAAGGAAATACATTTTCACGTAAGGATTCCTTGGTCGTCCATCTATTCTAGGTGGCAGATCTGTTGCTTGAAGAACATTCACTATTAATTGATGTCCCACTTTGTCATACCATAGCTTAACCTATAGTAAATTATAAATAATGGACATATATTTATTTGGATTAATAACCCATCCTATCCTGGAGATCTGAAGTTGGGATAAGAACAATATTCATTTTAAAAGAGCAAAAGAAAAATTACATTTAAATGCCCCTTTCCACTTAAGCCTTATCATGAAATACTCTGCCAAAATTAAAGTTCTATCCATTCACACATGGATATTTCTCACTAGGGGAGTGTACACACACACAAAAAAATCAGTAATTTTCAGGTTCGGGTATACCAAACCCAAAAAATATCACTATATACCAATATTCCCGAATTCCAGTATCGACATGATATTCGAATTCAGGAAATAATCGGTATTGCTGAATTTATTTGGCTCAATAATACCCTATGGGGACTGTCCCCCTAGGGTATAATGGATATTCAAAGATGCACTGTATGCCAGTGAACTCCAAGTGGCTGGCGAGCTCACCTACTTCTGGGTGAGCTCGCCAGCTGCTTGGAGTTTACTGGCACCCGGTGTGGCTTTGCAAAGCTCCCTTCGCATGGCAAGAGGCCATTAAACCCCTCTGTTTTGCTCCTCTCACTTGGGAGGGGGGAGCGAAAAGGAGCACTGAAATGAAATGGTGGGTCTGCCTGTCAGCTGATCAGTTTCCCTGGGAGGAAGCCTTAAATCCCTCTGTTTCACATCCCCTCACTCTGAAATGGGGGGAGCAAAACAGAGGGCTTTAAAGGCTTCCTCCCAGGGAAACTAATCAGCAATGCCATCAGCTGATCGGTTTCCCTGGGGGGAAGACTTTAAACCCCTCTTTTTCCTTTCCCCCGATTCAGAGCAGGGAGAAGTGAAATGGAGCACTGAAATGGCTTCCTCTTGTGGAAACTGATCAGCCTGGCGGGTCCTCAATCAGCCCAGCAGGTCCGTGGGGGGAAGTGAAATGGATGGGTTGAAAAGCTTCCTCCCAGGGAAACCGATCAGCTGACAGGCAGATTCGATGGGCTGATCGGTTTCCCTGGGAGGAAGCCTTTAACCTCCTCTGTTTTGCTCCCCCCACTTCAGAGGAGGGAAGTGAAACGGAGGGGTTTAAGGCTTCCTCCCAAGGAAACCAATCAGCTGACAGGCGGACCCGCTACCATTTAAACAGAACAGACATTTCAACAGAACAGCTGACCAATAAGGGATTTTTGGGGAGTATTTATTTGGCTTGGTTTATGCCGAATGCACACCCCAAGTTTGTTACTTGATTCCAACATCAAGGGATGATTTGCATGTGAGTTAAGCATCCAGAGAATGATCTATAATTCAATATTTTTCTATTAAGACAGTTCTCAAATACAGCTGCCACATTCGTGGCGTTGTATCTTGGATGGCTTTTTCATACATGAAAACCTATCACTAGTCTGAACATGTAACCACTGCTTACAAAATGTGAATGGGAAACTTTGTGCATATAGTTTCAGTTGCATCTATGTCAACATAAAAATACAAGACAATCCCTGACAAAGGCTATTATTTCAGATACTGATTTGAAAATTTTGATAACTGTGGGGTGGGGGTTGGGGGGAGTTTCAGCAACCTGTGTCTGCTACATATGTGGGGTACTGGGATCAATTCAATAAGGAAGGGAGTTTTTGTACAACTGCAACGTCTTGTGCAAACATGTGGGACATGTGAAACCTTGCTTTTGTGCACATCATGCCTTACAAGTAGATCATATGCATGGCTACAGAATAACGGAACAAATACCTATATTAGTCATATCAATCATGTGATAATGCAACAATGCTTGATTGTTAGTGTTAACATCTTAGGGACTCTGATGCGGTATATTTTGTATACATATGCCAAAGTCAGAGAGCATACAATTTTTCAGTGTTGTATTGTTGTAATCATAGATCCACATCTTGTCAAATGTGTAATGCAGAAACATAGTTATATTCCCATCCTGGCTCTGTGTGTTTTCACATGTGTATTGTGTGTTTGCCTGCATGTGAAACCATGTTCCTCTTTGTGCAACCATCTCAAGATACAAAATTCAGCCTATCACACAACCAGTGCCTTGGGGAACCCTGTTAAGACTGCCTCTGAGCAAGTACAAGGGGCAGAGCTTTCCAGTTACTTTAGCTTCCCTGTGCGTGCATGTTCTTAGTAAGAGGGGTCTCTGCATGTGAGTAGAGTTCGAATCACAGTCTGCTTTCTTAAACAGGAAAGAAACTTTATTACTAAAGATTAAACTAGAGCACATATATGGAAAAAAGCTGTCATGCCTAGCAGATACAGATTTATGGAAAAGATCATAAATATGAATTTAGCTAAGTTACAATACAATACAGTTACCTTGGATGGAGCAAACACATCCTCAAACTCCCTTCTGCCCCACTACAGAGGAGTTTGGTGTCAGGCTCATTATGTGTTTTATAGTTTGCCTGCCGTAGAGGAAGGAGGAGGGAGAGAGGGGTGTGAGGACCGAAATGCTTTCGCTTTCCTGAATGCTTTGATGTACCAGACCAGATACCTGTTGTTCTGTTTTATTTATGTAGTGCTTAGTGGGGGGGGGGGGAGTTTATGGTTGTTTTTGACTGTTATTTCTGGTGGGCAAATGCCATAGTGTGATTGGGTCCTGATCTTTAGTGCCTTTGCTTGACCACAATATATCTGCAATCTTTGTGCTTTCACCTTCAGTCCTAACAAAGCTCATGTTCAGTATGGCATCTATTAATGTCTCAATAAACTTTCTTTGAAGTGAATGGTGTTGAGAACTGATTTTATCCAGGATTTGATGCGCCAGACACTGTGTCGCAGAGACCTGTTGTTCTATTTCATTTATGTAGAGGGGTACATGCTTAGTGGGGAGGGGTAGTTGATTGTTATTTCTGGCGGGCAAATACCATAGGGTGATTGGGTCCTGATCTTTAGTGCCTTTGTTTGACCACAATATAGCTGCAATCTTTGTGCTTTCACCTTCAGTCGTAACAAAGCTCGTGTTCAGTATGGTATCTATCAATGTTTCAATAGACTTTGTTCGAAGTGAGTGGTTTTGAGAATCCTTTTAACCAGGATTCTGACATTTGGGTCCCCACAGATCACAGCATCTGGGCACAGATACTTCCTTTTAAACCTTTCTGGCAGCATTGGTGAAAACCTCCCCCCAATCCAGAACTAGGAATCATGCGCCTTGTGGGAGATACTCCAAGCTCTCCCAATCGGGTCACCTGTAAGTAGCCCTCGTCTCCCTACCTCTGGTCAGGTTTTATGACTGGCATTCATCTCCTCTCCAGTGGTACCTTTAAGACCAACAACATTTTATTCAAGGTATAAGATTTCGTGTGCATGCACACTTATTTAGATACACTGAAATGGTCTGGTGACAGACATAACACTGGACAACCAATCACTCCACCTTAAAGGAAATGATGCTGTTAGTTACCTCCATACTTGAGAGGAAGAAGAAGAAGAAGAACAGATTGGATTTATACCCCGCCCTTCACTACCTAAAAGAGTCTCAGAGCGGCTTACAAACTCCTTTCCCTTCCCCTCCCAACAACAGACACCCTGTGATGTAGGCGGGGATGAGAGAGCTTTGACAGAAATTGTTCTTTTTCAAGAACAGCTGTGCCAGAACTATGGCTTGCCCAAGGTCATCCAGCAGGTGCAAGTGGAGGAGTGGGGAATCAAACCCGGTTCTCCCAGATTAGAGTCCGTGCACTTAACCACTACACCAAACTGGAGATGGATGGAGTGTAACAACAGGGTCCCAGTTAATTACTCTCAGCATTCCAAAATTAAGAAGGGTACATTTATACATCAGTCTCCAATTTTGATATATTTATTTGCTTCACTATGTTTTCCCCCCGGAATTAAATCCAAACAAATGGTGACCACATAAACTAAGCTTGTTATTCCTTTTTTATATAATACTTTTTTATTATATTGATACATATAAAATAAACAAACATACAAACATTTATGGGGGGAATGAATATAAAAACGCTTGCAGTGTCCCATCATATTTCTAACATTTTTCTCTATGCCGTTTACAAAAATTCCAATTGTTGCCAATCTCCAGGTGAGGGCTACAGATTACTCACAATTACAACTGCTCTTCAGGTAGCAGAGATCAGTTCCTCTGGAGAAAACAGTGGACTCTGTCATTATACCCTGCTAAGGTCACCACAGCAAATTGACACTGTTTGCCCAAAGCCAGAGCACTGCCCCAGAGCCTCTTTCTAGATCCCGTTGTATTGCTTTCACAACGGGCTTTACTGCTAGCGTACATTATAAGGTAACAATAATCTCTTTTACAAGTATCTGGTAAAATGTTCAATAAGAAAATTTCTGGGATGAAAGGTATTGTACATTTTAAGATTTTTTTGAAAAATCTCATGAATCTAGGCCCAATATTTCTTTGCTTTATCACACAACCACCACATGTGAAAGAAGGATCCTACTTTGTTTTGGCACTTCCAACACATATTAGAACATTTAGAACCGTACTTAGCTAATTTCTCAGGTGTAACATACCATCTAGAAAACATTTTATAGATATTCTCTTTATATGGAATTGCTTTTGTAATTTTTATATTTTCCCCATATCTGTGACCATTGGTCTAATTCAATATTATGTCCCAGAATTCGTGCCCAGTGAATCATAACAGTCTTAACAGTTTCATCATGCATCTTATAGTCTAACAACAAAGCATACATTTTTTTATATAAAATTCTGGTCAACATACATCAATATTTTTTCAATTTTTAACAGATTTTCATTAAATCCTATAGTTTTACCTTTAATATATCTGGACTCTATTTGAGCCTTTTGCTACCATGATAAATCGGATATTGGTTTCAAATTAAATTTTGAATCTAATGAGTCCATGTATCGTTTTGTCTGGTCTTCTTGATATATCTTCGGGTTTGCAAAAGCTTCTAAAGGAGCTATCAGTTAGATGTCTAGAAATAAAACTGCTTTAAAACTGGTTCTCAAACTTTCATTAATGCAGCTCTAAGCCAATGTTGCT